CCTGCCGTACTTGGACATGGCTGGTCCCCACCAGGAACACGCTTGGCTCAGCGCTCAGCACTGCTGGGGCTGGCAGTGGTGGGAGGGCAGAGGGCAGATGGGGTACATGGCTCCGTACCTGCTCCAGGCTCTCATAGTCCAGCTTGAAGGCCCAGAGCTGGAGCCTGGCCGTGAGGTCACTGATGGAAGACAGGGCGAGCAGGAACTGCTCCGCAGAGCCCAAGGGCACATCAGGGTTGGCCAGCTGGGCTTCCTGGATCTTCTGCTTCTCCTCCTCAGTTGGGACCATGGTCAGGATTTTCTAGAACAGGCAAAGACAGATGTGTCACACTCCAGACACGCCACCATGGGACATGTCACCCCAGGGCTGGCAGTGCAGGCATCATGGCATGGAGGCCTCCTGGCCAGGGGAAAAAACTCGCATGATGAGCTCAGAGGGACTGAGCTTCTCTCTTGCTCACCTCAATCCCTTCCTTATTGACTGCAAACTCATCGAAGTTGAGCACGGCCGTCTTGATGATGTGTACGGGTGGCAGCACGGTGAGGCCAATGTTGATGGCATTGCTCCTCTTGGGGTCCAGCACCACCAACACCTTCTTCCCATCTGTGGCCTTCTGCAAAGAGGACGGGATGGATGGGGACAGCCAGGCAAAGGGCTCACCTTCATGAAAACACCACGGACATGGGGAGCCCATCAGGGACCTGGTGGTGAGCCAAACCTGTGTGCTGCCCATCACTGAGGCTCCGGGCTGCGGGCACCCATTCTCAGCATAGGGTAGGGGTGACAGTGCATGCCTAGGGTCCCCACAGGAACTAACAGGCTTCCTCCCACCCCCTCAAGTCCCCTTGGCTGACATGTGCCAGCCCTCTGGTACCTTTGAAGTTGGCACTTCCTTTGACCGTGACTCAAAGAGATGCTCCAGTTTGGCAGCATTGACCTCAACGTTCTGCAGGGACGCCCACAGTGTTGCCTGCCCAAACCTGCCCGGCCCTGCAGTGCCATCTAGCTGCTTCAGCTCCTTCCAGAAGAGCTTCACTGTCCTCTTCTTCTTGGCCTGGGAGGGGCCATCCGTTGCTGAGGGGCCTGGCAGCCCTGGGGGAGGTGGGCAGCCAGGGACCGCAGGAGGAGGAGGTGGAGGTGGTGGGCAGCCGGGGACCGCAGGAGGAGGAGGGGGAACCATGAGAGCTCCAGCACTTGTTGCTTCGATGCTGGGGGGCAAGAAGGAGCCATTGGCCATGGGCCCCGTGTCCAGGACATCAAAGTCTTCTTCTTCCCCCAAATCAGTGAAGTCCAGGTCCTTGATCTTTAGCTGCACGGGGCTGGCCTCCAGGCGCTCCCACGTCAGCTCCACGTCCTTCTTGATGGGCATCATCCCTGTGTTCTCCAGCTTCTGCGTGTGGGTCTCAGCATCTATGCTGGACATAGCACGTGCCAGCTTGGCGTGGGCACTGGCCACTGGCCCGGCTGCATCTATGCTGGACATAGCACGTGCCAGCTTGGCGTGGGCACTGGCCACTGGCCCATCTGGAGCCCTGCCAGAGAGCCAGGCGCCCTCCTGCTCCCGGCTTCCACCTCCCTCGGCATCCATCTCCACCCCACCCTCGACCAGAGGGGATGGCGGGACCTCAGGGAAGACTTTCTCCCTCCCCGGCTCCGAGGAGCCCTTGGCATAGAGCATGTCCAGCATAAACTTGGTGTCGGAGGAGATGGTGCTGCAGGAGTCGGTGGTGTCCAGCCGAGCTGAGCGGGACCCTGCAGAGAGAGGGGGAGAGGCTGGGACAACCTGCTTGGAGGGAGCAGGTGCCGCTGGGCTGCACGTAGAGTTGGGGTCCTGCTCCCCAGCAGGGTGTGCTCAGATGCTGGCGTTTGGAGTGGGACGAGGAGGTACGACGCAGCTTCTCCATGGGTCTGGGTATCACAGGCATGGGCTGGGGGCAGAGGGGTCACTAACGCCCACCCCAGGGACCTGATGAGACCATAGCCGGGAACACACACCCTGGCAGCACCTACTTATGCTGGGTGGCTCCATCCCAGGCTCAGGGGTGCTGCTGTCCCTGTCCCACGCGAGAGCGGTGGGATGCTCCAGCACAGCATCGCCGAGGACATCGAGCAGTCCCTTGGCCATGGAGGAGATCTTCTCCTTCTGGGCTGTGGCCAGGTTCTCCAAGAAGCGAGCTCTGCAAGACAGAGGTGGATGTTGGCCGGGAGCAAGGCAGGGATGGGGACGATGGGCAAACCACGCCATGCCGCACTGCACAGCCAGCCCCGTAGCACTGAAACCCCCTGCAATGGCCACACCGCGTCAGGGACCCAGAGGATTCAACCTCCTCCGAGCCCTGCAGAGAGACGAGCGATGCCACCAGGGCTCAGGGACCACAGCCTCGTGGGAGCCAAAGGCTCGTGCCACCACGGTGCCACCGTCACCCGTTGGTCCCAGCGGACCTAGTGCTGACTGCAACCCTCACCCATAAGCTGCAAAACCCAGGAGGGTGCCCAGGCAGAGACTCGTGGGGACCCTCTTGCTCCTTGACCCCTATGTGGCTAGAGCCCAGACGCCTGCGGCCGGGCGCCGGCCCGAGGAAGCGCATGCCTGGAGACACACGCATGCCTCTACTTACTCAAACTTCCTCAAAATAGGCTTGTCCCCATGCAAGGAGGGGGCATCCTCCCGCCTGAGGGAAAACAGGGGTTAGCCCCCGCTGCCGCGGCCCCCCGGGGCTCGTGCCTCCTGCTTGCACCTGCCTGGCAGCCCTCCAGCGTGGGAAAGGGGGAACACTGTCCCCCAGCCCCGAGCCACCCCGTTTGGCACCGGGATGGCGATGCCAGCCCCTCCAAGCACCAGGGTGGGCTGAGCAGGGACACCTCACCCCAGACCGGGGGGGTTCGGAGGGTGCCACCACCCCATGGGGGATCCTGGTGACAGGGGGAGCGGGCTGGGGTCTCGCAGGCAGGGCTAGGCGGGGAGAGGCGAGAGACGAGCGCAGCAAGGTGGGTGCAAGGGGCAACGAGCGGCACGGGGCAGTGCCCACTCACAGAATCACAGAATCACAGAATAGTAGGGGTTGGAAGGGACCTCTGTGGGTCATCCAGTCCAACCCTCCTGCT